TCACTTCTTATCAAGAGAGTACTATCATAACTACTGTTATTGTTACTGATAATAAGACAAAGTGTATCATTTCTGGTCAGCCTTAGAGCTGGAATTCAAATGAAACCTCAGGTTGCGGGGAGTGTATAACATCAGTAGGAAAAGGCAAATGAAAGTAACTTACACCTTGACACTTATTCCTGTCTCCTTAGACTGAAAGAGACCTGTGTACATAATGAATAGTTTTGCACTGTAGGTTCTATAAAGGGAATGGCTGTGTCACAAGAAGTGGTGGCTGATAATTAAGAAGGAAAACTATTTACTGATTTTAATTAGTGCTCTGTCATACTTGTGTTTAAATCATGCATTGACCTGATATCCCATCCCAGTGCAAATATGAAACCTGGCATCTATTTTCCATGTACTGCTTTGTGTGTGTTTCTTTATCACTTAATTCTTAGGGAAAAAGATTTTTTTTTTTTTAAGAGGCAGGTTGTGTAAATCCCATTTTAGGAAGTGGGAACACAGAAGTTTCTCTGAGTTGGGTTTGAGGTAGATGTTTTCTGCAGGATAGAGAGAGTTAATACTATATTTGGTATTCTTACTAATATTTCTTGTGTTGGGACTTAGAAACTGGTACCACAAAGTCAAGGCCTCAGAAGCAGCTGCAGAAGCAAACTTCCTCTGTTGACCTTTTCCTGTTTCTCATCAGGAATTCTTCCCAGAGACAGGCCATAGAAGCTAGAATTCCTCTTCCCTGAAGTGGTCATAGAAACCAGAACCCTTTTCCCCTCAAGCCAGCCATAAAACCTAAAAACATTACTGTTTCTTTCCCCACTTAAGAGTTGTCCATAAAGAAATTCTTTAACCTACTTTTTTTGATGGTGGGTCTCAAGATCCCTATTTCAGAAAGGGTCCTCCTCCATGCCCTAGGGGAACAAAGTGTACATAGAGAGGCCAAGACAAACCTGGGCAGGCCTTATTGGGCTTACCCTCAGTCTAGTACTATTGGGTCATACCCCTTTTGATCAACCATATTTCTACATGACTGTCCATGCTTTATTGAATATAAGCATAAAAATGAGTAGTTCATCTTGAGTCTTTGGGTCTTCAATCTAAAGACTCCTGTGTCTCATAAAACTAGATTAAATAAATTTGTTATGTTTTTCTTTTGTTAACCTATCTTTTGTTATGGGATGATGACCATGACCTCTTATGATGGGAAGGAGAGGGGTCATACCTTTTTCCACTTATAGTTAATTCAATCAATATTTTGTGTATATCATATGCAAGATACAAATAGGTAGGGGAATATCAAATCAAGAAATGGTTTGAATGCCCTGTTAAACAAAAGGTGTTACTATTTTTCTTTTTCTTCTTTTTAAAGAGAGAGAAGAAAGAGAGAATTTTTTAATATTTATTTTTCAGTTTTCAGTGGACACAACACCTTTATTTTATTTTATGTGGTGCTGAGGATCGAACCCAGCGCCCCGCACATGCCAGGGGAGCACATTACCGCTTGAGCCACATCCCCAGTCCCTGTTACTATTATTTCTAATTACTACAATTCCTGCCTTTGGTGCATAGATCCATTGTGGACTTTGATCTCATTTTTCCAGTTGGCTAGTTACTTTTGAGGCCTTAGCTTTTCTGTATGTAAAATGGAGATAAAATCTCTCTCATAAAGTGAGAGAATTGAATTGAAAGAAAAAAATATTAAGATTCCTCCCAAGAATTATATGGTAGTCTTAGGCAGCATGACCCAGGCCATAGATCTTATACATCTAAGTAATCTACTGATGGCAGATTGGAGATAGGAATTCAAGGTTTTACTTTCTGTTCTTGAGAAAATGTAGAATGGCTAAATGGAAGAACAGTTTTCTCAGTGCAACATCTGGGAAAGCAAAAGCAGGTTTTTTTTTTTTTTAGGAGATAGGTAAAGCCCCTGGCAAGATGACTTTCTCTCTAGAGTGTTGAGTAAACTAAAAGGACAGCTGGTGTGGTCAGAGAGCTACTGGAGACAAACACTGTCTCAGAATGTTATGATTCCAGACATAACCCTGGAGCAAACATTTCAGTTTTTGCTTCTCAGTGTCTTTCATATTTTATTGGCAAGTCTTTGACACTCAAACCAAGCAGTGACTCTGAAGTCTTGTCAGTTTTTTCCAGAGTCATTTCTGTTCTGTGGGACTGGCCTCAGGCTGACATGGAAGTTTCCAGCAAATCTCTAGATGTGACCTTTCCCAGACACAGTGGGTGGTTGAGAATGGTGGGGGAATGAGAAGATTTAATCCCATAGAAAATCCTCATTAATTTAAGATGGAAAAGGTTCTATTTCCTCTCTAGAATAAATTAGTGCTTTATAAAGGAGCTAAAAAACCCTCATCAGGGTTTGGCTAATGAGCAGTTTCTCCTGGGAACTCTAACAGGTACAGTGGTGTCCCCTTATCCACAGGGGATGTGTTCCAAGACCCTCAGTGGATATTTGGAACTGCAGATAGTGCTCAACTCTATGTTTTTTTTCCTATACATACATGCTTATGATAAAGTTTAACTTATAAAATAGTCATAGTAGATTAACAATATTAAAGTAGAAAAATTAAAACAATGTAGTGTAATCTAGTTTGGGAGAATGTAGTTTCTCCCAAAATGTTTTAATATATTGTCATTCATAGCAATCTCAGCATAAGATTTTTTTCTTACTAAGTGAAGAACTTTTTTTTCCCCCTTTTTCCCCCCCACTTTCCAACCTCCTCTAAATAGCTATGTGGCATAAATCCTACCACTTCTAACTTTCTCTCCCTAAAGATAAAATGAAACATTTAGACTAGATGGTTTCTAAGGTCAAGACAAAACTCCGTGAATAAGGAATAAGAGATCTAAAGATTAGTTTCGGTTACCTTCAGACTTGAGAGCTCCTAGGTACAAAACTAATAGTTTTATTCATTTAAAGGTTCCTGAAAGCTTCCGATATAGAAAAAAGCCTATATGATGTATAAGTGAACGAGGTGTGGGAGACGGCTCTTTAGTTTATTGAAAGTACTAACGTTGTATTAAGTAAAACGAGACTAAGCAAACGTAAAGATCTTAAGGAGAGGGCTGAGGTCTCCTCCAGCCTTGTTCCTTGATGCTCCTGCCACCAACCCCATACAGCCACGTAAATACAAACAGGCACACACACGAATACATACGCACACAAGGGGGCTCAGAAAGCAAAATACGGTTTGCAAGTGGGTGTTTTATCCTCAACTGATCGTAACTTTTCCTCCTGTGTTCTCCTTTCTCCCCATTTTCTCTGTCTCCAATCTTAGGCAGGTTTCCTGGCAGCCAGGATCGCGGTGATAACCAGCTGAAGAGTTTAGGGGAGCCTCTCAGCCCGAAGTCTCAACCCACAGATTGAGGGCGGAACTTGGGGAGGGTTCGAGGAATACCTTGAGGGCTCAGGACCTGAGAGGAGGGTCTTAACCCGACGTAGAGATTACTCAGGAATAGGATGGGTGTGCCGGGGAGGGGCTTTAGAGCAAGCAGAAGGACTTTGTGAGCTGGGGGCGGGGCTCTGAGACTGGGGGTGGGGCTCTACGTGGCCGGGAAGAGATCCCAGGCTGATAGGGGCGGGGCCGTGAGTGTCAGGCATCAGGACCAATAGAGGCGAGGCTCCGCGTGGCAGGGGCGGAGCCCTGTACTTCCAGGGGCAAAGCCCTGCAGGGCCGTGGCGGGGGCGGGTTCGGGATCCGCGGCTCGGCCTCGGCCTGGGCCTGGCCTGGGCGCGGGTGAGGGCGGGGGCCCGGTGGTGGGAGGAAGCCGGAAGCAGCCGCGGCCCTAGTTCTGGAGACATGGCGGGCGTTAAAGGTACATTCGCGATCCCTGGCCCGCTTGTCTTGCGGCTGTCGCTGCCTCAGCTCTGGGTTCAGTCTGGAACTGCACCTTCAGCGCGCTGGCGGGGTATCGCTTCCCGCAGCCCCGCTGCCTTTCCCGCCTCTCCCGCTGAGGAAGCCTTCGCCCGCTTCCCTTGCAAGATGGGGTGCGGGCGGAGGGGCGTTTCGGGGAGCCTCTGCGCTCCTTCGTAAACCTTCGCTCTCCTGGCGTCTCCCAGGCCCCGAGGTGGAGCCGCGCCTGGGAGCGGTGACTTCCTGGGAGACTCGGGCTAGCCCGGGGAGCATCAGTCCCAGGCTTCTCCTCAGTTCTTCAGAGCGCTTGCTCTCCCCTGCCGAGTTTTTAAACAAAGGTTCCACTTCCTGACACGTCCACCCTAACTAACGCTTCTCCTCCTGTTTTCCTCCCTTGTTGACT